TCCTAACTTTACAAATATAACTACATATATATATATATATGTATATACATTTTTATACAAATGTAACGTGCGATAGTTACCTACTTGTTTCTTATAATTTAATAATAAAAATAATAAAATTCTGTTGAACGCTAACAAAAATCAAAAAATTAAAATAAGAAATTGAATATGATTTATATAAGAAAAAATTTGTATATATAATTGATATTTTAACAAAACTAAAAGCCTGAAACACCACATACACACTCCAACATTTTAAGTATTGGTGAAAATATAAGTTATATTTTCGTGATTTAATTCATTTCTTGTTGTAACTTTACTTACGGTCTTATGAAGTTCAGTTACGGATAAAAAACAACAACAAAAAGAAAATTAAATAAAAATCTATACTCTTTTATTTTTTTTTATGCATACAACTTCAAAAAATTGAATATAAATTTTACCCACATAAAAAATAACTTCATTTAAAATCGCATGTTAATCTTAAGACACGCGGGCGTTCATCAGACCGGAACCTTTTTATAAATATAAATATAAATATAAATATTGCTTGCTTGCCAGTGCCTGCCTTATATGTAAAATCACATGTTTGTTATAAAAAAAATAAAAGAATAAAAATGCAAAGAAAATTAAAAGAGCAAAAAAACATAACCAGTATTTAAAGCAAAATTTAAATTGTTACTAAACGGCAATACGGAGAGCGTTAACAATTACATGTAACGTTGTAACTGCAAAAGAAAAAATCAAAAAAATAAAACTAGTGTACTTTCTTGCTTACTATCTTTTAGTAAAAGTTTTGTACAAATGATATAAAATTTTTGATTTTTTATTTTTGGTATATCAATGTCTATCGATAATTACGCGAAATGTTGATTTGAATCATAATTAAAGTACGGTAAACTAATTCAAAAAGAAAAAAAAGAAACAATTTTAATTTTGTTTCAAATATTTTACAAGTTTTTTTCTTATATAAAAATTAACAGGAAAAATTACAAGTATAAAATTTTAGGAAGTAATTCATGAAAGGGAAATTGGATAGCAATCATTGAATTATTAATCAACTTTTCAATTCTATAATATGCAACTATGTTGCATTAACCATCATTTAATTTGGTCCTCCAATAACGTAAAATAGTTTAAGAATATTTTGAAAATTTTACTCAATGCAAATGAATTGCTTTGGTTCACGTTTTTAATATTTATAAACTCTGTAATACAAATTGTAATTTCAGTAACGCCATTTAACAAATAACAAAGCCATATTACATATTCATTACTTAAAATGTATCTGAATATAATTTTTAAATTTCTTCCTGATCTGTTTCTGCACTACTGACCCATAGAGCACGCTAGCTTAAATGCCCATTAAATTAAAATATTATTCAATATTTCGTTCATTAATGACATTTCAGAGTTAAATCGTAAAATATATGGTGTAAAATATATGGTACCCCAACAAAATAAACACTAACTAAGTGTTAGTTATACTGTTTACACATACTACAAGGTTTACGATTTAATCTGTAAGGCATCGGACTTCGTTTAAGGACAAATAATAATGAATTACTTCATATTCACATAAAAATTATTGTCATATATTTTAAAAGTAAAATTACGACAATTAATTTTTTGTGAAATTTTAGGATAGCGATTACGTCATTTTTATTTCCATTATCATTTTTATAGCAAAATTATTTAATTTTGACGTTAAGTCTTAGCGCAATCAGATAATTTCAATCTGATATGTAAACAGACGTAAAAATTTAACGTAGATTTAATCATAGGTTTGATCGTATATTTAAACAGTACCTTAATAATATGATTTGATTATGTGTTATACAGGCATTTTTCACTAATTTTTGTGTATACAGGTATTTGATAGCAGAAACAATTTTAAAGAATTATGACGTTAACATTTATTAAAATGTTTTAAACCATTTAGAAAGATTACACTATACGCTGTAATGTAAGTTGAAAGTATTGCAGTTGTAGTTCAAATACTACAATATCAGTACTTTCGCAACATTGTCTGAAATTAATACATAATATTTTATTTTAAATTATGTATATTATTTTATCTGCAGTCTGCACAAGTATATAATAATGATGTAATTTTACAGTTTATGAAATACACATGTATATACATATTGCATATATGCAAATTTAATCATAATAAATAAGAGCTTATGTATAATATGTATGTATATAAATTTATACATAATTTTTATATAATTTAAATTATTTATTATTTTCGTTAAGTACAACAAAATTTCAAGATTTATTAAAAAAGAAAATTATTTTTAAATGTAGAAAAAATTATGTGAGAATATATTTCGTGCTACAAATAAAAATCTCATATTTATAATGATATCTTTTACATATGTACATATTATTGATTTTGTTAATATAATCCTGGAAATACATAAGAGTAAAAGGATGCAGGCTCACCTTTATATTATTAAACGATCGCAGTACATAATGTACAAAACACTGTACAGAAATTCTCATTCAAATCACTTTAAAAATATAAAATTATAACAGTTAAAAATTATTTTAACAATATTTTAATGGGAGTAATGGGAGTGCCTTAATTATTTAGTTATAAAAAAAATATAAATATTAAGGATTTTAATATTATGTATTTGAAATTTTATGAAAATGAAACCTGCTATTTATAGGGATAATTTGTATTTATAATAATGTAGGTTATAACTGGAAAATATTCTATTTAAAAAAAAATACGATATATTCATTTCTTTGTTAATTAAAATAATAAAACTTTTAGGTTAATGTTTAGTACCTATATATGTAAATACATACAAACATATACGTATGTACTTATGTAGAGAACAGAAAATTCAAGAAAATTGAGAAAATTTTTATGTGTGTATCCTGTTTCCTATAGAATTTTTTCTTCATTTTTTTCGTTTTTTATTTTTACTTTTTCTTTTTGATCTGTTTTATTCTCCTCTGGGACATATAATATGAGAAAATGTTCTTTGCGCATTCCTTTCTTTATTTTATATATATATATTATAAAAATGTATATAATGTATGTATATAAAGGTTGGAAAAGGAAAAAAACGGGAGATACTATAGAAACGAGATATACACATTTGTATATGTACTCATAAAGTTCAAAATTACGGTTATTTTTATAAATTTTTTTTTTTTTTATATAATATAATTCGTTATGTTACTAATACAAGTCAATATTATGTAATTTATGTGAATTATATTTGAAATAATGGTAAATTTTTATTCAATCCCAATTGAAAACCGAAAATATAACATTTTCATTAAATATTCATAAGAAATTTTAACCATTACACAAAATGTCGTTATTTTTCTAATATATTGACAATTTTATTTTTTATTATTTTTATATATTATATATGCTATAGGCTAGTAATATTAAGTTCAAAAAATGTCACATGTAATCTTAAATTATTATACAAAAATTAATATTTTAATTTGACCGCGAAATAAACTTAAAAGTTATCAATAAAGTTTCATACACTATTTTTTTTTTTTACGACTACATTATTAAGGGAGGAATTAAAGATTTATTATAGTAAACTTTATTAGTTTTTTTTTTTCAGTTTTAAGAGATATGAAAATTTTTTGCAATTTCAGTATATATAGGGCTTCGAATTACATAAGTGTTTAGCCTCTTTTTATGTTTATTTTGTACAGTCACTAACTAGTCTGGAACGAAATCTTTGCGAATTTAATAATCAAAAATTAATTTTTTAATTTACGATTTTTTAATTTTAATAATCAAAAATCATTTTTTTAAATTAAGCTGTATAACAAAGATTATTCAAATATTATTTTTTCGTCATCAGTACAAATGAAGCGAAAAATTAATAATATTCCAGTTTCCGTTTTTGCATTAACATTCTGCATTTCTGAAACCAACATTATCTTTGATATTTTAAGCAATTAGACCTTTTTGAGATTATCGTCTTGCTTACACAAATCCCGAAAGAAATAAATGCATTCATTAAACTTTTCACTTTACAATTATGTCGCTACGCTAGAATTAAACCAAAATACCGGGTATTGAATTAATTTGGAATTTTTGTTAAAATCCAAGTTATATAAAAAGAGTATAATTCCTCTAAAATTTTTGCCTACAACTTGCAAACTCAAAAAATTTCACATACGTAAATAGCTTGATGCAACATGGAAACAAGAAAATATAAATGTAAGATTTTCTTGAAGGAAGACACGAAAGTGCCGCCTCAGTGAGTAAATCGACTACTCTCTCTCAGTCTCAGTGACTACTCCCGCTTTAGACTAAATCGAGAGATCTAGTTCGTTCGGGCTTTCTTTTCTAATCCTCTCCTTAATAAGCCGGAAGACTTCAATATTCAAATGATGCTCCAAAAGCGCCCTATATAGGCACCCTATGCATAGTTCCTTATTTCTTCACTTACCTCGAGGACGTCCAAATCCCTATGTATGTGACTTTCGCGTACATACCAAAGATCACGCATCATATTACGAAGTTGTAGTGAAAATTCATAATCCCTATATTTTTAAATAATACGAAAAAAAAATTCTTTCAAATCACAATATCAATATCCGAAATATACTGAAGTATTAATTTATAAAAATCTTACAAAACTAATTCATATTGTATACTTTTCACTCAATCATTTGTCCACTCACAATATTTTAACTAAGAATTTTTCATAATTTTACTATAGCCTCCAACACTACATTAACATATATAATATGTAATATAATTCTTTATTTACTTATTTTTCATATGATTATATACCTACCTACCTATACCTATAATATAATTTTTGCTCTGTATATGCTACTACATAATATTAAAAGTACAAAACTGTCTGTATTCTGTCTGTACTATATGTATTGCTTGCTAGTTGCTTTACTGCTATAACAGTATGCTTATAAAAGAATAAACATCAAAAACAAAAATAAAGGAAAAATAAATTTTCTGTATACAAGAAAAAAAACAAAAACAAAATAAAAAGAAAAAAATGATAAAAGAATAAAATAAAAATTTGTGTGCCGAAGAATTAAAAAAAAACAAAAACAGAAAAAGAAAAATAATATAAAAATGGTTTATACGAAAGAAAAAGTTTGCCATGCAGTCTTGTTTCGTCTCTGCAATTGTTAGCATCTCGTTCGGTTCTTGGAATTGCAAAGTAAAATTAATTATTAAAAAAAAAAACAACAAAAAAAAATCAACAATAAGTCTTTTTTATTTGTCTGAAAAGTGAGATACTTGAGTCAAAAATTTCAAAAAAGGAAGAGAGAAAAAAAATTTTTATTTTTTTTCTATTTTAATGAAAGGATTAAATTATTCCAATTGCATTCTAAACATTTTTATGGAAAAGAAACATTAAAAAAAAAACTTTTATTAATTTTTTTGTAAAATATAAATTATTAAATTAATTATAATTTAAAAGCCTGCAATATATTTTTTTTTCTGGGTGCATACTTAATACATACATATACACATTTTATTCATAAATTATTAAAAAAAATTATTATTATATTAATTTATTAATAACTATCTAATTACTAATTAAATTTGCAAATTTTTCAATACACTTATATTATTTATTTAATCTTAACATTAAAATTTATAAAATATTTAATAAAAATCTGTTAAGAAATAAATTCTTTAATAAAAACAAGCAAAAAAATTTTATTCAAAAACTTAAGAATTAAAAAAAAAAGTGAAATTTATTCTTGTACAAACGTGTGTTGCATGACATCATCGTGTCTCTTAGTGTTTTATAGAGCCGGCTAAAATAAAAACTTTTGATTGTTTGCTTTTCGCCCAATTATTTCCTTATTATTGTTATCATCATTATTATTACTGTTACTTGCAATTTACGAACAATAAAAAAAAAAAAAACTTTTTTCTTTTTTGTGAACAATTTACTTTGCATCTGCATTTTTCATAAGCTTATTAAAAAAGCAAATAAAAAAACAAAGAAAAAGTTGCAATTTTTTATCTAAGGGAAAAAAAGTTTCTTAAATCAAAAGGATTATTAAAAAAGAAAGATAGAACAAAAAAAAATAAAAACAAAAAGGATAATAAAATTTTCCTATTTGTTTTTCATAACTTTTTTATTTTCGTCTTATGTGCATTAAAAACAAAAAAAAAAACCAAGGAAAAAATTGAAAAATCATTGGATTTTACATACAAATTGTACATACTTTCAATACATACATACTTATATACTTCAAATACATAAAAAAAAAATTTTTGAAATCAAAAAATTGTCAGTTTCGTGATTCGAAAGCTACAGGAGAATTAACAAAAAAGCTCAATCACTTTTTCAAAAGAAAAACAAAAAAACAAGAAAAAAAACTTTTATCCAACCTTAAAAATTTGACAAAATCATCAAAAAGGAAAAAAGAAAGTAAAGGAAAAGTAATTAAATTTAAAGCTGAAAAAAAAAAATTATACTTTTTCAATTCAATTAAAAAAACAAAATCCAATTAAAGAAAAAGAAAAAGCACACCAACCAAATACAAAAAAAAGCAACAGACATATACTCAGATTTAGTAAAACCCCAAGAGAGTTAAGCAAAACAAAATTTAAAAGTAACATTTTTGTAAAAACTTTAAAAGAAAAAAACAGAAGTGCTATACAAAACACTCTGGGTCGAATTTCCGAAGGCAAGGGTAGTTCGAAGGAAGAACACAGATAACTAATAAAAAAAAATAAGAGAAGAAAAAATAAAAGTTAAAAACTTTTCTTTTTCTTTTTTCTCGAAAAGCTAAAAGGTAAGTATTTTTTTTTTTTTTTTTGTAGTTCACTGAACGAAGCAGAAGAGATACGAAAAAATTTTCTATTTTTCCTCACGTTTTTTGCTCTTTTCTTCTTTTTTTGTTTTTTTTTTCCATTTTTTATTTTTTAAAATTCATTCTTATTATATTTAAAAATTTTTTAAGTTTGAGAAAATATGAAATGAAATAACGAAAAGAAAAAAGAAAACGAAACTAACCTCAACTCATAATTCGCTCGTTCCGTTGTTTTACGTGTACTTATGGTTATGAGCAAAAACAGCAAAATTATTAAAAAAAAAATTTTTCTTACTTAATTAAAACTTGAAAAAAATTTTTTTAAGAAAAACTTCAATTTCTTTTCATATTTCTTTAGAACAGAATAAAAGATGGTATAAAGTATTCAAACTATACATACAAAAATACACATAAAATATAAAAGTTACAAAAAACGTATTCGAAAATGAAGTTGTAAAATTTAAAAAATTTTCTTTACTCTTCTTTCCTTTTCTTTATTTTTCTCTATTTTTCTTTATTTTATTGCTATGCTTGAATTGCTGCAAATTTTTTCACAATTTTTTTTTTCTTATTTTTCTTTGTTTTTTTTTTTATTAAGTTACCACAAAATTTTAAAACGATATTGAAATAGTTTTTAAGATAATATATTTTATAGATATACATACATACTTACTCATATTTTTGTACCTATTATACAGTGGTTCTCAAAATGACAAGTTGATTATTTTGTTTGCGGTGATTTGTGATGAGTTCAGACATGCACTTAAAGTTCTAACCTAAATTTAAACAATACATATATAATATCTTTTTGCATAATTTCACATCTAGAAATCAAAATATTTTTAATTTTTCAGATTTATAACCATTTTAATATTCGACAACTCATTTTTAAAATATATGTTTGCAACTTTTAAAAATTTGTAAAACTTTGACTTTTTTTCTCCATAGCAGAAATTTATCGAACACGCTTTATAATATTTATTTATTTATCTATTTTCTCAAAAAGAGAAATATATAGCTTGTACATACAGATGTGTACTATGTCTTTCCAACATTTAAGTTCTAATTTAGAACCGAATTGTCGAAAATCCTATGTCATTAATATATCTTTCGTTAAATAACAATTTCTTCATAATAATATTAGACCTTTTCATAAACGTAGTATGTAAAAGTTATTTTTTTCATAAACAAATGTTGCTAGTCTAATTTTTTCATAAACATAATTAATTTTTCGTAATATACCGAAATTAGTGTAAGTAGCTCAAAGAAATCATTGAGCTCTGTTTTGGTTTTATAGAATAGTTAAAAATACGTTATGTTTTTGCAGTATTGCTTTTAAAAGTTATTGCTTTGCAGTATTTATTGTGTTTATGAAAATTTCTGTTATATGGCAAAATTTATAAAAATATATTTATAAATTTTATATATATGAATAATTAATTTAAACAGGGCTTCTGTAAAAAAAAATCAATCTCTTTAAATCAAACATAGTTTGGCATTGACAATTACTCTATTTCGAACTTATTTCAAATATTTTTGAAATTCACAAATTCAAATGTGTGTAAATGAATGTACTTGAGAAATAAAAAATAAAATGATGAGATTCATAATTTAAAATGAGGTGCAAAGATATTACATTATAAATTTACGAAAATTGAAAAGATTAATTATTTTAATAAAGGCTCCAATCAATTAGTTCAATTTTGATATGGCACAAGTATTCAATTCAACACTATTTGTATAATAAATTCAATGCTATCTGCTTTGATTTAAACTGAATATCTTTCTGAAATTTTATCATACTTTCTTTAAAATTTTCGTGCCCCTTATCATACCACTTATGTCAGATATTAAAAATTAGTGAAGTCAAAAATTATTAAAGTTCGAACAACTGCAATAGTTTCTTATTGCATTTTTCAAGTTGACTTTGTGTTTAATTAAAATTGCAATATGACCGTGAGAGTGAGAAACACTGATTTAAGCATATTGTAAGAGTTGAGTTTTCAAGTGTTTGAACTTTTCTACTTTACTTTTCGCTTCAATTTTCATTTTCATAATTTTTAACTATAATAATCAAATTTTTTCTTCTATAGTTTTCGGTTTTTCTACAATCTCTTTTGTTTTTTTTTTAAAGAAAAAAAAAATCGATGTGACTACAGAAGCTACACTTCCACAAACATTCATACAGATAATTTACACTATATGATTTATATATGTATATATATACATATATATATATATAATATTGTTGTACAAGCAGAATTATAAGCTGCGATATTACAAATGTACTTTGGAACGATTTGGAACGATCCAATTTAGTTTTTTAATATCTTCCACTTTGCGTTTTTTTGTTTTTCTTTTTTTGCTCATTTTCACTTTAGTTTTACCAGTTTTAATTTTCGAAAAAATTAAAACAAAAGAAGAAGGTAAAACATAAAAAAAAGTATTAGCAAATTTATTTTTTTTTTTTTGCTTCTGTTAAACACATACCTACGTACATACACAAGTTCTTTAATTTTTAACCATTTGCTGGCAAATGTTATGAATAATGAATGTGAAAATTATATTAAGTGAGAAGCAAAGAAATTATTTTCTTAAATTTAAAAAAAAAAATTGAAAAATAAGCAAAAATAAATAAAATTATCTGAACCAATACAATAAAATTTTTGAAGGTCAAATTAGATTTTCGCGAATAATCCAAAAAAAATTCGCAATAATTTTTAATATTAGAAAATTAAAAGAAAAGAGCAAAGAAAATGTTCATAGTTACAAAAAAAAATTAATTGAATTTCTACAAAATATTTCAACCATTGAATAAGAAAGGTTAATGAACTGTTACAGTTACAATTACGAATTAATTTTGTAAAATTTATACAAGTATGATTTTAGTTATAAAACCTTCAACTGGGAAAGAAATTTATTAGATCTATTATCGTGATGTTATCAAAAATGATATAAGTTTTATTTATATTGGCGATTATACAAAAATAATCGTTTTGTTCTAAAATATTATACGATTATTTCTACCCAATTTCTTAAACTCCCCTTAATTTCAAGTACCAGCTGTTTTTGTTCAAAACGGGAATATTAAATTTCTCTTTTATATTTAAATATTACTCTTTTTCAATATAAGAGAGTAATTACTAAATTTCTTTTATTTTAACTGATTGTCAAGAAGTTTAAAATTCACTCATAACTTCCACATATATGTACGTTATTTGTACTTATGACGTTCTATTCAATGTCAATAGAATAGAAATTTGAAATACGTCATGCTAAACAATACGTCAAATTTAATTATAAAATAAGAAGTTTCTCCTCTAAAAACGTTGTGTTTACAATTTCTACGCTAAGTTAAAAACTTTTTTTTTTGAATAATTTTTTGTTAACAATGAGCAAAAAACAATTTTTTGCACCAATTGTATTTCGAAATCTAGTTCAATTTTTGAATAAAAATTTTGTGTTCGTGAATCATTTTATAATTATTTAATTTTATATACATACATACTTACACAAACTGCATACAAAAATATTATAATATTTATGGAATACATGTTATATAAACTGTTATACATACCAAAACTGTTATACATACATATGCATGTTCACCTGCAAAATATGCATATACATACATAATTTTCTAGCAGCCAAATAATACACTTAGAGGTATTACGTGCAGTATCTGAGTTAAATTGATGCACAAAAAGTATGTATACATACCAAAAAAAAAATTAATTCCGAACAACAAGAATTTTAAATTTTGATTATTAAAATTATAATAATAATAATAATTTATTCTCAAATTAAAATCATGAAAATATTTTCAATATATTTTGTTTTTCTCATTCAATTTTCGGAGAAGATTTCGGTGTTTTTTGTTTTATTTATTTAATTTTTATATCCATATGGAAAATTTCTTTTAATTTTGATTTGTTATTTTATTTCATTGAAAGGAGTTGTGTGGGGGTGTTATTACTCGTATAATGAAATTTTTTCAATGAATCACAGTTTACTTAAAATTATTATATACACACAAGTATGTATGTGCTTATATTTTCTGCTTTATTTAATTTATTAATATTTTTTTTATATTGAATTTTTTGAAAGCAAAAAAATATGCAAATTTAATTAAAAATTTTTTTGAATAACAAAAATTATAAAAGAAAGAAAACAGATACATAAAGGATATGATGTGTTCCTACATACATACATACACACACAATCTTTTTTTTTTTTTTAAATGATGTGATTACCGAGATACATGTAGGCGCATATTTGCAAAAAAAATTTAAAAAAGAAAAATAATTTGAAAATTGAAAAAATTCAGATTTTATTTTGCAGTCATGTACAACAAATTGAAAATAAATTTAAATTTAATGGTTATTATATTTATTAAATTTTCGATTTTTCTGATTTTCTGTAAAGGAAACCAAAAAAAAATTTTAGTTTTTGAAAGGACAGACAAAAAAATTGTTAAATTAATTAAAATCAACAGAACAAAAATATTACAATTAAAATTGCAATAATTATTTTATGAGTGCACAATTATCCTGCAAAACATTAAACAAAAGAACTTAAAGGATATTGAAGCAGAAAAAACAAAAACAAAAAATTAAAGGAAAATATAAGAGCTTTTTTTTTCGAAATCCTTAAAAAAGGGAAATCCTTAAGAACACTTCTCTTCTCTATATAAGTTTAAGTACATAACATTAATTTATACTCGTATAATATAAAATGTATACATAATATTTTGTACATAAATTGAGAAAAATCTCACCTTTATGTACAGAAAAATAAAAAAAAATAATTTTGTATGTATGTACATAAAAATGATGATACAGATGAAAGAAAAGCTCTTTTTTGAGATAAGAGAAAATATTGAGAGGAGGAGAAAGAGAGATAGAGAAATTTTGTATGCAACTGGGTTAGATGAAAAATCTTAAGATAATAAAATATGATTATTAAAAAAAGGTTTAAGAACA